TTGTTAGAGCGATCGTCGGCGTAGTGAAGAGACGGGTTGGGGGTTCTGTGCCCCCCGAAAGTATCAATTCGGGTGGTCCCCCTTTGGGACACTGGATTCGTCGTGGCAGTGCCGCCCTCCCCCACTAAAATGAAATTGAGGAGGAATTCGTCCCGACGCATGTGGGTGGCATATGACCCTGGGCCGCAACACACAACCAACCTGTGAAACTGGTGAGTTTGGGACTGGAAAAGCAGACGCACACAGCCCTTCAGAGAGATGTTCAAAAGAGTATTGCTTTCTGGCGTATTCGGGTGTCAGCCTGACGGAGCCCTTTCACCCCATGGGAGGCTTCAAGGCGTTTCGGTCCTCTGGGGTCTGAAAATCCCCTGGTATTACCAGTGGGCTACAAACTTAATTGACAGCCTTGTTATCGTCTAATAATGTACTGCATTGTGTTAATTAATCACCAATGACATAAGACAATGCGAATCAATAAAAATACTACCACACTATTTCAAATTAAGTTTCAGTTCATAAAATGTTCCTGTTTCGGTTTTTGATATTAGATTGCTTTTTCGATTTGTAGTTTGAGCTGGTTCACTACTACAAACGATATTCATATATTTTTATGACATAATTAAAAAATAATTATAATGACATAGAACTTCAGCATGCTGACGTTTTTGATAATTCCTTTTCTGTCCAAATCAAAAACACCCATATTGTACTTAGTTATTTCTGCTTTGTTGAAAAAGTCCGACTTGTTACATATGCCACTTATCGAAATGGAAACCCAACAAAACATGTAATACGACACTATGAAACTCTCTTAAAAACTGAAGCTAAAAAAATGTTTGCAATGAACGATTTTCCACACTATCTTTTTGCAATACGCTATTTTAAAACCGTGTAATTCCATGTGATTCTAGAGACTCACTTCATAAAGTTCATGATTAAAATACTTGTATCACTACTCTAATGTTACACACTCGATGTCATCGATTTATAGAAGATATTTACAAAATAACTTTAATATTATTATGAAAGCATTCTTAACTAAAAATATCTTATTTATCTGAAACTGCTGAGTTAGGGATTTGTCAGGAAAGATTTTGCATGCTAATCACTGCACTGGATCTGAATAGATGATATGTTCAATTTATTTAAGGAAGTTTTAGACCAATATTTCTCCTTTAAAGTTACACTTCTTGTGTGAATTCGTAAAGAATAATTGAATTTATTTATAATTATATTTATCTTCAGTACTTTCTGAGACATATTGAAAAATATGCCAGTCGAACGAAATAAAAATGATGCATTACCAAACATTCTATCTTCAAAGCGTTTTGTGGGATTTTAACACTACGTTTCTGTAGAGGAACTTTTACAGTTTAATTTCCGTAACAAACCGCAAATTATCATAGTGGTAATGCTGAAGCGAGAGCATAGCATAGTGGTAATGCCGAGCTTATACACAATTACACAGCTTCACTGGCTACACAATTACACTCTTCGCTGAAAACCAGGACTTCTGAGAGAATTAAGGAAAATAGTAAACGATACTTCGACTTAATCCTTACCAAGATGTAGCTGTGTAATTTCGAAAGTTAACGATAACATTATATTTTCATTTTAATTTATTGTTCTAAGAGATATTTCATCGTTTTAAAATCTGAATCTTACTAATAACAGAACTTACAATCCACTGTTTCACCTACATAATTTTGCAAATTATTCTTTAAGTACAGAATAATACATATAGAAAAACACAGGTTTTATCTTCACTTTTACAACTTAAAATAATAAGAAAAATGATAATTTCTCCCCAGTTTCTCGCGATTCACTTGTGGATCACTTGCGACACACCAGTGTACCGCGGCCCAGCAGTTGTAACTCCAGCTCCGAAAGGATCAGTGTGTAACAGTCCTTTAAAGTTGTGACATTGCATCGTTCTTCCAAGAATTAAGACCCCAAAATGTGGAGGTTTTTGCGGTTAACATTTTAGTTTCTCTATCTGTAAAAAATGTTTAAATGGATATTACTAGAAAAAACATGCATCGAATTTGAGTGCATACTTTTCGAGTTCTGGGTAAACTCCTCGATAAACTTCCTTCCTGTTACCATGAGCTTTGGAAATTTAAGTGCCGTCTCTTTAGCTTCTGATAAAAAGAGAGCTTAGAAATTCAGGTAGTCTCTCCAGTGGTCGAATTCAAACGATGCTCTGCCAATCGTTACGGTGAAATATGAACGCGATGTGTTTTATAGGGGTCGTGGAGAAATATAACGCTCTCAGTCCTTCCTTTTCCCTCCTCTTCCAGACCCAACACATTTCGGCTTTACGAGGAAGACGTCCAATGTACTTCAAAGAGTCTATCACTTTATGAACTTGGGGCAAGTGGACTGGTGGCCTGGAAGACCGGGGGCAGAGTACACTCATAGATTGGAGCCGCCTCTTCCTCCATCCCCGCCTCTTCACGCTCAGCTCCACCCTCCCCTGCCATGCCCCGCCCGCCCCGCCTCTCCTCGTTTCGCGTCTTCCGATCGGAGAGAAATGGTATGGAATTGCGTACACTGGACCGACAGGAGTGAAAAGGAGAAAAAAAGTTAGATACAACTATTATTTAATAGTGCTAAACTCTCCACAGAAATAGTGAGTATATGCATTGATAGAAGTGAGTGTAATGTAAGTGAGATGTGTGCAATTATGGAGCGTTGCAAATGTTAAATAGGCGACTGATTTCTAGGATAATGGGAGTTCATTTTTAAATTTCTAATACAAAATGGTGAAATAGCATAAGTGGCATATATTTGGACATGAAGGTACACCACGTCAATTTAAGTGGCATATCTTTGGACATGAAGGTAAACCACGTCAATTAAGAAAAATAACTAAGATAAAAAACGATAATAAGTTTTTAAATAAGATAACTTTTGAAAAATATTTCAGAATAAAGCGGAATTTATTTTATTATTTTTCATTTGTATTTGTTCACTTCATTCTCACGTAATAGCCAGTTGATATGCTTGTTTAAAAATCAAAAAGTCTGGTTTTTGGCCCACTGTCCCCCAGGGGCGGCGCGGCGCAGAGAGGAGCCCTAATAAAAGCGAGAGGCAATAATGGCCGGAGTTAAAGGAGATCCCGCGGGAGGAGAGGCAGAGGCCGCAAGAAGCAAAATGAGAGGCCCTTGCGGGTGGGCGCGCGAGAAGCGGGGGCGAGAAGGGGGGACGGACGGGCGGGCGGGCGGGCGTAAGGGCGGGCGTGGCATGGAACGTGCGTTGCATGAGGTGTCGTTGCATGGGTCGTGCGTGCATGCGGGCGGGCCGGCGCCGGGCATGGTGCGTGATGCTGGGCGGGGCAATTGCATGGGCGTTTTGCGTAGCATGGGGCTGCGTGCATGGGGCCGAGCGTGACATTTCGGGCGGGCGTGCATGGGCGCGGGAGCGGGCATGGTGCGGGCATGGGGGGTGGCGTGCATAGCGCGGGGGGGAGGCAGGTCTCGTGAAGAAAGACTAGTGTTTGAAGTGTTTTTTAAAAAATTTATTTTTTGGAATAAGGGTTACTTTTTACTGGTGTCAACCACAACACAAATTTCGATGAACATTAATTCAGCGAGGCGCACGCATTACATAATTGTTACAGAACTCGGTTGCAGTGCTCTCCCTACAAATGAAGTCAAGCGAGAGAAAGTAATATGGCAGCATGCGCAACACTTGCAATTCACTTTATGGATTGCATTTTCAATAACAGTATTATAATTACTTTTTTACTTGAACTTAATTTGATTGCAACAGCACATGCTTACTTATTTAGCAAAAACGAAATTATGAATAAACGACCATTCATTACTGTAAATTAATTGTTGACAATTTTATGGTTAAAACTAGAAATTACGTTCTAGTTTATATCGTTCTGAAAGGATCCATGAGTACACCATTACATGTAATCTTTCTTTCAAACGTAAAGAGAAGAAAAGTTAAAATTTAAATGTACTTATTTGTTCATTTGGCTCAAAAAGGAATTTGATTTACTGAACTTCCTTCCTACACTCTGCCACAGTTGGCTGAGATTACCTACCATCTAAGTTTGATCAATCAACTATTTAATGCTTTGAACTTTAGCTCCAAAGGAAGTCATAAATTGTTTCCTGCTCGCCGCTTGATAAATGATTTATAGTATCAGTATGCAAAGACCACAATTGAAGGTGGTGGATGTGCAATGTTTACGATGCAAGAGAAATACTTCGAAGGTCATCTGCTAAAGAACACTTAAAAATGTTTAAAATCGCGGCCCATATATTCAGACGGTGTTCACTTGTATATACGATGATTACTCATATCTCTTGAAACGCGACTAGAATACATTGTGAACTGTTCTTGCACTGATGTGTTTAGGAAACACGTCAGAACGGGTTCGTAGTAAATGTGCGTAAGTGCGCAATATTCTTGCTTCATTTATGCCACCCAAACTTACCTCCCATACAGCATGCCCAATTATGTAATACTAGCGGACCTTACAATACTGCCGCCTATTGCAGGTGTTTATAATAAATGCAAATTCGAGTTCAAATCAGTTTACTGAATGGATGATTAGCTAAGTTTTAGCTATAGTTCAAATGGGGCTTTTTTTAACTGCATTTACTTCGAGAAGAACGTCAAGATTCAGTTTAAAAAATTCAAATTATTCGATATAATGTTGTACACCGCCAGCCTTCGATACAGAATTCCGGCTTTCTAGATCGGAAACTTTCGATGATATGCGTAAATGAGATGATGAAAGCGAAAGCGAGTGGTTCAAAATGAATCCATAGATCGCACTAGTAGCCAGGTCCTCTGCAGGACAGCGTACAGCCCAACCCAAACTGGTGGAGTAGTTTTTGCGTCTAGATGCGACCAGACATACGCAACACTCCTCTTATTTACATAGTGAAAAGATAGTATGTGTGTGACGCTACTCACCGCGGCAGCGTCGTCCTGCAGCAGTGCCGAACGTGTGCGAGGCACGTGGGCGTGGAGCGGGGTCAGCCGGCGGCGGGGCCGGCCGCCGGGCGTGGATCAGGCACACCACCAGCGGAGCGGCGCGGCGGAGGCTGCGGCGGCGCGCGGTAGCGCCGGGGCGCGCGCGAGGCGGCGCGCGCGCCGCGGCGCGGGGGCGGGACGGGCGGGATGCAGCGGGGCAGGCGGCGGTCACTCGCGGCAGGCACAGCCTCCTCAGGGGAACACGGAGCTGGAACGCCCTCAACAAGACTTTCCTTCTTTCTCCTCCTTGCACACTCACTCCCTTCCTTTCCTTTCCTCTCTCACCATTCTGACGGCGTTTCACCCCGGGTTTGAAATTAGTTTACTCATACAGGAGGGAGGTTCAAATGCAAGAATTGGGGTTACGCTGCTCGGGATGGGCTGCTGCGATGGTCCGAAAGCCACTCGCCTTTCACTAGACTAGGACCAGTCGCGGCGGAGCCTCTCCCCTTTTCTACGGCGAGCTCACTCAACCAGCAGCAGGCCACGTAGATCCGGTATGCAGATAACCGCTGGGTCAGGGGACACCAAGTAGGCTGTTCCCTTGCGGGCTGCGCCCCCGTCCAAGGGTTATGGTAGCAGACCAAGGAGAATTGGAACAATTTAAGACTTCTGTTCATTTCGGTCCTTATGATTAGCAGCATGGAAAATTATGGGTCGAACGCGATCCTTGGCCCGTTGCACTGCTCTGACTCTGGAGCAGACCACAAGAATCCACAGTAAAAATAGAAGAGAGAATCCAGGCTCTAGAATTTCCATGCACGCAGCAGAAAGGCGACTTGTGATCTATCTGTTTAGTTGTTGTTAAAATACCTGCAGTGTAGTTCTCAAACCTAGGGTTAAAACCTGAAACTCTCCCTTAGAAACACTAACCTTCTCGCTATATTACCTCGATCCAGTTATTACCGTCAATCAACTCATATTTCCTTTATTTATCGTAACCCTTCTTAATAGACGCATGGAAATACCATTCCGATACCCGGAAAACATCAGGGGAGGGGGGTCAACGGTGGAATTGAGTTAAAATTCCATACAACCGAAGGAACATTTTTCTGTCTTTAAGAGCTAACGCTACACGAATATTTTACATCTCCGGCAAATTTTTGTGTTAAAATATTTTCAGTTTTGCAAGTATTATAGGAATATATATGTTTTGATGATTTTCTGTACTTTCAGTCATTTTCGTAAGAACACAGATGCCCATGACCTTTTCTTCAAGAACTAATTCAACTTTCACAATTTTGCTCAGAATGCACGATTGTTAACTTCATTTGGGAGACACTAAAACAAGATTAGGACATATTTACGGGCAGACTTGGGTGTAAGAGAACGCCGGAGTTTCCACAAAGGGATTACACAAGCCGATTATTTATTTTTTTTTCTGCACATCTGATACGCATTGAAACACAAAACTATCATTTAAAATTAGCCTTTGATAATGATAAGAATCTTTGTTCTAATAACAAAAATTCCTAAACGATGAAACACGAACTCTTTACCTATTGTCCGAATAATATTTCTGTTTACTACTGTGACCTACTGGGAGCTAGCGACTTACAGGGGAGAGGGGATCCGGTTATCAGAGGCTTCAAATCTAAATGGTGTCAATGCAAAGTTGCTGATACTTTCTGAGGTAAAAAAAGAAACCTGGGCGCACATCAACAGCGTAAATCAACTGCAAATTGAAGAGTGCCGAGCACTAAGTGGCCAAGAGCGCCATTTGCCGTCATTACTTGTTGGTTAATGTGTCGTGTATACGGTTCTGTGCCGTCTACTGTTGTGTGCTCTCATTGCGTTTTGTTTTTCCTACTGCTGCTGATGCAGGAACGATCTCCGGACCACGGGTCTGGCAGCCTAGTAAGAGGCAACATCGCTCAACTCACCAATCGCTCAACGTCCCACCCTCAGCTGTCAAGAAGGCAGAAATATTACTCGGACTTGAAGGGATCGTCCATTAATTGCGTAACGCTAAGGAAGGGGGAGGAGGTTGAGGCAGCGTCACGCTGCGTTACATAGGGGAAGGGGATATTCGATTAGTGTTACGTAACATTGATAATTTTAAATATTTGTTGAAATACTTCGATTTCTGAGTCTTATACTAAAAATTAAAATATTATGTTGTTTAATTACGTTATTTTAAAACAAATAATTTACAGTTATTAGAAGTTGTTACAATAAATGGAAATATTTTTTCATCAATTTTGTATTGAATCTGTACGATTACATAGAACATCTTCAAAGGTGATCTGTAGTATTTCGTAGAATACAATTAAATTTTCGCAGTAGACTCTCGCTTGTACACCATCTGAAACGGTGGCGTGTGCACGGCTTGTGATCAGAAATTTTCCGGCCTGTGCGCCCTTCCTTCACGCAAAATATGCCTCCAATCTTATTGTTAGGAGAAGTCTGCATAGACAACTATTCAGACTAATAAATTTTATTACACAACGCAAACAAAATAAATACAATTTTACTGAGGTATAATTACATTCACGTCTTGCATTCATAAAAGGGTTGTTGCTAGAGTTACGTAATTATTGATGTGGACTTCAATTGCGCGTTACAGGTGCGTTACAGGGGGAGGGGGTAATCAAAATACTCAAAATTTGCGTTACGTAATTTATGGATGGCCCTTTACACAGAACTGTTTCATAATTGTTTCTGCTGCATAACTGTTTCTACACAATTAGAGACTACACTGATTATCCAATTTTTTTTTAACAAAACAGTGATGTATAATGGTTTAGTTTACATTTGTATTGCATAATTTTTTTAAAATATTATATATACTTGTAACAAATAATGTACTTCTGCTTCCTGGTCAACCACCCCTATCTCGATTAGGTTTTCGTCGTTTCCCTGATCCATTGAGCAAATGCTGAGATGATACCTTGTTTCTGTACGTAAATGTAGCTTTACTATGGGCACATTTTGCTTGTAATGGTAGGAGTAGAGGTGATGGCGAGTTAGTACTTTGTTAGCAATGCAGAAAAATCGTAGTTTCAATTCGTTTACCGATGCAAATAAGTTTTCTATAAGTCGGAAACGAAAATGTCTATTTTTTCAAATATTGCTTATTTCGCACTTTTAAAATTTATTTATATTTATTTATTTTAAACTTTTACTCATCATTCATCTATTTATGGTGAAAAAGGCGGCAAGAGATTCTGGAACCCAAGAAAACGTGCGCAGTTAATCTTCTCTCCCATACGTCACATACAGTTTTTGACTAAAAAATTTAATCAGAAATAATGGAGTACCCTACGGCGGGGTCGTGGGCTCACCTGGAGTCGGAGACGGGGTCGTTTGCCGCGGGGTCGCTGTCGTCGCCGAGGAGTTGAGAGGTGGGGCGAGTCGGCCGCTGCTGGCCGGCCAGGAGGCGGGTATGTGCGCGGTCGGCGCCCACGCCGGCCACCGCTCCGCCGCCTCCGCCTTCGCCGGGCCGCCCGCGCCGCACGCGCACGCGCCGCCCGGGGCGGGCGTGTAGGAGGGCGAGCGCGCGCGGTCGGTGCCGCCGCGCAGCGCGCCCAGCTGCGACCCGTCCGAGCCGCGCCGCCCGCTGCGCTGCCGCACAGCGCCCCGGTTGCAGAAGCACCTGCAACCGCGACCGCGACCGCGCGGCCTCCGTCAGGGCAATGGCCTCCACACACGCAGCCTCCTTCGAACCTGAGAGCGGAGTAGGCTTCCGCGGTCGGAGGCAGTAGCTACTTGGCTGTCCGGGAGATGCCGCGTCTTAGGCAGGGTGACGTAAGTGTCGGCCGCCATTTTGCGACCTTCCTCAGGGCGAAATGCGGCGTCTCCTGAACAGGCAAGTAGTTTCCTTCAAACCTTCAATCACTGATTGGCTAATTGGATATTTTATGATTCCGTATGTATGAACTCTTGTGTCAATTAGTTAGTAAGGGCATGCTACATCTTGGGCGGTAGCGATTTAATCCTCCCATTAGACCGTGAGACCTGGCGTCGGCCTATACATCGGCTTGCGAGGGTTCCTCTCTTCCAGGTATTTCCTGCCGGCTAGGCTCCGGCCCAACTTCACGCAAGTGTAAATGCGTGTGAGTGAAGTGAGCGGACGGTACAAAGGTAACGAAGTATGATCGCAAGCGGATCGATGGTCTTTTGTTAGGATACTGCTCCGGCATTCACGTGGTGTTGATTGAAAAAACCACGGAAAACTACCAATCAGTGCAGCCGACCGCTAGAATTCTCCTATAGGCAGTGGCTGAATTCGACCTAGCTGACAAACTAGTGACGAAATTCCTTCCGCTGTCGTGTAGTAATGGCTGGCAAGATATAATTAACATGTGATATTGGAAATTTCTATTGAAGTGCAAATACGTAGCGAATGGAATTTACTAAATAATAAATTATAATACGCAGAAATTAATAAAGCAAAAGCTTCTCAATAATGCCTTGTTTCAATTCCCGTATAATGTTATCTTGTGAATGGAAGAGAGAATCAACACACATTCCAAACACGCCGACATTTTTACCCATTACATCTACATTCGAAACACTTTTTGAGACCTAACACTTCTCTACCAGAAAACAAATAATAGAAACAATATGGTTAATCGTTTTCGTTTTCCATGAACTAACGATAGACATACTATGTCTGCAATTAAACCACTCGAGAGAATAGTTTGCATTAACTTGACTTGCGTAGATAAAACCCTTCTCCGGATTTACATGAAATTCTACGGGTCTTTCTTTACAACAAAACGGTGGTGGTGGATGAAGAAGTGAAATTCATCACAACTCTCGCCTCGTTTCACGCTCTGCCGTATTTTATTTTAAAGGAAGCGGCACGTTCTGTCACCATGGCAACGCGCAGCCGAAGGATAGCGACAAAATTTTGCATGTAGCGAGAGTGTACACCGTGGAGCGAACACGGATCTCTATCCATCCGCATTAAGTTCAGGTCACGTCCCATGTGCACGTGGCACCGTTGCGGATACGAGCACAGCCCCTAGGAGGGAGAGCCAACTTACTTTTTGCAATAAAACACAAAATGCACGTGTTCATTTGTTTCATTTCTTGAAAGGTCACACCCATTTAGATAAATTACTGCTACAATATTTGTAGCAGAAACTTTTACTTCGTAGAAAAACAATAATGTTAATAAAGTTTAAATGCGACGCGTATTTATAGATTTAAAAGTTTCCGAAACTGTGTCATGGGAAACAAAAGCGGCGAATTTAAGTTGCAATGAAGTTTAGATTCTTTTATGAAGTTGATATAAAAACAAGATAGGAACGGATAACAAAATACTTTATAAAATTTAGAAAAAGAGGTTCGATGGAAATGGTTGAAACACTTGTAGTGCGCCTTTAGCAACTTTAAGACCATGATAACAGCACTTCGAGGAAGTGTTAGAATAGTGAGTAAGATGCGAATTTTTTCGCCGGTGATTGCGAAATAGAAGGTTCAGACAAATCATCACGAACGCCATAATTTCACTCAGATCAACATTCATAACTCCTATTTTGCTGGTGACGTAAGATCTTCAACCAGCTCACATCCTGCACAACGACGAATGATTGATAAGTGATTTTGGACGCGTCAAAGGATAAGGGGATTGGTTCCGTAAGTGTAGGTCATGCTTTTATTGCGGAATGTGGCGGTGATCTTGCCCCGCTGGATGGTGAGAACCGGCGACTATCTACCCGTAGACTTGTGGGGTTTTCTCCAATCAAGTATCTCCCACCAATGTGGCATCACCCCAGCATGTGAACTCCCAGCATGTATTGAGGCGTAATACATGTAAGTGTAAATTGTATGATATGGGATGATGATAGGACAAGGAAGAGGAAGGAAAGATGGAGAACGGTCCGTGACCCGTTTGTTGGGGTTCTGCTCCAGCATTCGGCTGATGTTGATAGGAGAAAGCACGGAAAACTCAGAGCAGCCGGCTGCATGAATTCTCCTCCAGGCAGCGGCTTGAATCCGACCTAGCTATGTAGCTAGTGTATAAAATCCTGCCACCTTCGGGAGTGGGACCTTGCGACCTGTCGATCAGAGGAACTGATCCGGCGCGCACAAGGCGGAACCCGACTGTTCGCGCTCACCTGCAGATGATGCGCTTGAAGGCGAAGCGGAAGTCCTTGCTGAAGAGCGCGTAGATGCAGGGGTTGATGGCGGAGTTGCAGTAGCCCAGCCAGAAGAGGACGGAGAAGACGACCGGGTGGATGCAGGGCACGCAGAAGGCGCGCACCACGTACATGGTGAAGAAGGGCAGCCAGCAGAAGATGAAGCCGCCCACGATGATGCCCAGCGTCTTCGCGGCCTTCGTCTCCATGCGGAACCGCTTCACCTGCGCTCACCCAACGCTCACCTCGCCTCCGCCCCCGGCCACAACTCACCCGCTGGCGTTGGCCGGTGGAGGCATGTGGGATTGGATATGGGGCAAAACCATGCTCAGTGGAAGCAAGCATTGAGGATAAGGCGGCTTACAATGAAATAAAAAAATCTAGGACATTCAAAAAATGGGTTTGTATAATTTAGTTTCCAATGTTCGGAGTCAGGAGATTGACTTCATCAGCGACTCTGTGTATTCTAGAAGCGTTGTTCGATCTCAGTCAAGCAAATTATTTATGTCTGTTCGTGTTCTTTATTTATGTCTAATATTTAAAGGAGACAACATCGCAAGTTTATTTGCTCTTGAGTGCGTAGGTACTTTTAAGGAGTGTTTAAGACTGAGAAAACTTTCAGAAATGAGGGTAACTACGGACACAAATCTCCTGCACAGCATAAAAGTTATCGACTGAAATAGCAGTCACGAACAATATCATACATATCATTCTAGCAAGTAATACAAGATGGTAGTTTTGTAATAATTCCTTTTAGCGCCAGGTGGAATCAGGAACACAGGGTGGAGTCAGGGTGTCGGTTTGGGTCAGGTGCACCGGATTGAGTCATGAGCACCGCGTGTCGAAACGGGAGC